AATTGTAAAGGCATAAATTGAAGTTTAAATAAGAATTGAATGGATAAAAATTAAAAGATGCAAAGGAGTCATACTCCAATTAGTAACTACAGGGAAAAATTTTGTTTAATGAGAAAAGAAAATATGAAATTGAAACAGGACAGACAAAAGTATAAATATAATGACTAGAAAGATATTGAAACTTAGAAAAAGATATATATAATTGAATTTAGAAAGGAATGAGATAATTAAAAGTAAGATTGAGAAAACTAAGGGAAGGGAAAAATTATTGAGAAAATGTTAAAATAGTAATAAGATATGGAATAGAACACAAACATGAATATGAAATTGAATTTGTATCTGTATGGAGAAGTGATAACCCAGGACCATGCTATTCTCAAAAAAAGAAATTTTACTTGTATTATGTTTTGTGAAAACCCAAATAAAATTTTTATTAAAAAAAAAAAAAGATTACAGCAGTGTTCTACTGACTTTAATATAGCCAACATATTAATAAAGCCTGTATCTGTGGACAAAATATCAGAACTATGTTAAAGCTTTAACTATTTTAATTAATTAATTAAATTAAATTAACTATGTTAATTTGGATTATCAACTGTTCAGCTTTAAATGGGAGGAGTGTTAAGGTATTGATTTAATAGGTGAACAGCTGCTGTAAGGCAGATGCAATGAGGACGAATCAGCAGAGTTATTGCCACTTTAAGATTGAGGATGGGTCCACAGGGTTTTACCACTTTAAGAAGCTGTTTATATATATGGAGACATGAGAGGGAATACCTCTCTCTCCTTGTGTTCTGTCTCCATTGTAGTTCTCCGTGCAAAGTAAAGAAGATTGATTGATTGCCACATATTTGTCTACCACATATATGTATGTACAGTATATAGCTGTCTTGTATATAAACCAATGTTAAAAGGCAAAGCCTCTGTGTGCTGTGTTGTGCTCCTGGGTTGTATCACAATAGTAGTCATGCTGCAAACACTGACACATTGTGCAAGACTAGGCCCTCTTGAGAGGTCTATCGTGCTGGGAAGAATGGAAGAAAGGGAAGAAGACAACCAGCAGCAAGGTAGATGGATCAGGCATGATATTCCCCTCAGAAAAAAAAATCGGGGCCAAAAGAGACCCCCCACCGCGCGCCAAGAAATCACCCGCCCGCCCGCTCCCTGCCGTTCGCTCGCACCGCGCGCTCCCGCCCGCCCCTCGCACCACGCGCTCCCGCCCGCCCCTCGCACCGCCCGCCGCTCGCACCGACTGCCGCGCGTGCCTGCCGCTCGCACCGACCGCCGCGCGCACCCGCCGCTCGCCCGCCCCTCGCACCGCCCGACCGCCGCTCGCACTGACTGCCGCGCGCGCGCGCGCCCACCCACCCGCCCCTCGCACCGACCGTCGCGCGCGCGCGCCGCTCGCACCGCCCACCCCGCCCGCCGCTCGCCCGGGCTCCGCTCGCCCCGCCCGGGCGATTCCGAAAAAAAACGGAATTCCGATTTTAATCGGAAAAATATCATGCCTGATGGATGCAATGGCCTTAGGTGCACCATTGGAAGACCTGAATGATCCAGTTGCATAGTGACCATCCTGGAGAAGGTCTATCTCTATAATTGTTAAAGAGTCAATACTGACCCCACAGCCCATTATGCACCCATCAGGCAAACATAAATGTATGAATGAAGGCAGGTATACATGTCCCGGGATAATGTTGCAGGATCCAATCTGCAATCCATACCGCAATGAACAAGGACATACATTCAATTTTGCAGCTACTAAGATTGTTGGACAAGCAGGCACAAAAACAGCCAGGGAAATGACTGAAGTTTGGGAAACTTCATCTGTCAACAGGAGGGCTGATTTATCACTAGCTTTTCAAGTACTAAGGATGGGAGAGCTTGGTAGCACAAGCGAACAACAGCCAATGACTTAATAGCCAGACAGCAACATCCCAAATGAACATCTAAAAAGCCATATACAACAGGCACCATATAACTCACACACTGAACAGCCCAAAGCACACACACTTCGCTAGCGAGAAGTTCCCTGGAGATGGGCTCCAGCACAAGTCCAAAAGCTCGGAAGACAAAATCTCTGATCCCGGTTACCGACCCAGATTGGATCCTGAAACATAAACTTAGTTTGCGCAACGCACTAAGTTCAAATCAATTCATCCCAAGAATTGTTGAAACCCTAATCCTATTCTCACTCTCTTCACAGTCCTAAAGCATCCAAGACCAAGTCAAGCACAGGGAACTCCAGCTCTTCACAGAGGACACCTGTCCTCCAAGAGCACTCACCTTATAATCTATCCCTTTGTGGTTAAGAGCAACATTGATGGTGAAAGTGGAGGAATCGTGATGGGGGCGAAGAGAAGGCTGTTCGTCCGGACGGTATCGGACCATGAAGTTCATGATTGCGCGAGCCTGAGAACAGGAGATTGGAGTTAGTGCCTTCCTGGTGAAGGCAGGGTAGAGAATGGCACATTGTGTACATACCTGTTCTGACCCAGCTCCCCAAACATGACAAACCCTCTGAAGTTAGCTCAAAGATTCCTTTATTAGGAGCATCAGCAGCCCAGGCAAAAAGTTTCTCTCTCATTGCAGGCTAACAAGTCCGTCTGGCCAGAAGATGAATAGTTGTCTGCCACATCTATTCAGCTCCTCCCCCTGCCTTTTATCCCCAGAGCTAGAATGGGGCTTTACTAAAGTGGTGTCTCTTCCTTCCCAAGGATCAGCCCATGGATTTCCACTGCTCTCCTCTCCTCTGCCTTTGGCACATCCGCGCATCAGGCACTGGACCCAGCTCTTCCTCCTCTTCCTCATCAGCCACCTTCAGACCTGGGGGCTGTTGACTCTCTATCCAAGGGCTGATGAACAGCCCAGGCTCTGCCTCTGTCTCTCTTTCTCTGCCAGCTCCATTCCCTCTTCCCCCTCGGGGCTCTCAGGTTGCCTTTGATGCTGGCCCTGACTCCCACACCTCCTCATCTGATTCGGTCGCTACCTGCCTAAATGGTGCAATCATATTCACTGCAGGTACAGCACGCCCAAGTTGCTTTCTTGCCACTGGCAGATCTCAAAAATCTAAGTGGACAGTAAAGAGTAGATGACAGCACCAGGCTGATTTTTTTTTAAAAAAAAAAGCTAAGCAGGGTTAGATCAGGTCAGTCCTTGGGAGACAGACGATTAGACTGGGCAGTGAAAAAAAACATTCCACTGGAAGTCAATGACTAATCACTATCATATTCTTTACATGAAAATTTGAATGTTACCCTGTCCTTTCCAGGAACTGAACATATTTATTTCATGCATACACATACCATATCTCTAATTTTTAAACAACCTTTCCAACATTGGTGGACTTTATTAACAGGGGTTTTGACTTATAAGAGTCTGTAGCACTTTTCCCCCCCATAAACAAATTTTATGAAAAGGCATCTGTGTATTTGATGAAACGAACTGCAGCCCACCAAAACTTTACGCTATTAAATAAAATGTGTTCATTCAAAAACTGAAGTTTCCCATAAGAGCCCCCCATACCAAAACATGGAATAGTTTTGTGTCTAGTGCATTGTGGGTAATAAAAATAATACCCAAAGGAAACAGATGTGGCCAATTGTGAAAAGGACACAGAACTTTTTAGGAGAAGAAACTTAAATCTGATCTTTACAAAATCAGTTGAGTTTTTACAGCCCAACTGGTACTGATTTAGCCCATTTAGGGGAGCGAGGGGTTATTGCACATTACATTTAACCATAAATAAGTCAGAACTATTGTACTCACCCAATGCTACTTCCCCCCAATAAACCCCAAAACAAAGTAAAAACTAAGTTTTATAGCACTTAGCACGAAGACTTATATACTGCTTTACAACCCCTTCTAAGCAGTTTACAGTCAGCCTATTGCCCCCAACAATCTGGATCCTCATTTTATCCACCTCAGAAGGACAGAAGGCTGAGTCAACCTTGAGCCTGGTGGGATTTGAACTGCCAAATTTCAGGCAGCTGGCAGTCAGCAGAAGTAGCCTGCAATACTGCACTCTAACTACTGTGCCACCGTGGCATGTAAATCTAGCTGCTAAATTTGAATCTGACTAGGGATGATCGTTTAGATGGTCTTTTGGTTAAAACTCTTGTTCAGCAACTAGTCAAACATGTGATAACCTGGAATGAAAGGAACTTACAACCAGTCCTTAGAGTTCCAGCTTTGTAGCGATCCTGGGATTGCAATGTCTGATGTACCCTGCCGGCTTCCCATAAGCAAAGTCAATGGGTAAGCCAGCAGGAAATCAGAAGTGGCAGTCGCGTAAGATCTTCAACCACCCCAGTAATCCTCACTTAATGGCAACAACTGGGGCGACTGGAAGCAGCGTCACTCGGCTCCCAATAACCTTCAGACACGCTGCTATTACCTTGGTGTGGTAGCCTGGATAGAACTTTTCTGTGACCGGTGCAATGTAGTCCTGCAAGAACTGCAGCCATTCCTTCTCAAAGCCGATTTGGTTCATGTGAATGTCAACAGTGGGGACATTCTCATAGCCGCCAACCAGCCGAGTGTCCTAGATGGGAGGTACAGAACGAGAAGAATTGTGATCGGATGTGAAAATAAGCTAGCGAGACAGAAGGAAGAGCAGTAGCCTAGACCAGGGGTGTCAAATACAAGGCCCAGGAGCCCATGGTGTAGTTGGATCTGGCCCATGGGGCCATCCTGGAAAATGTAAGGGGCTGGCTTGCGTGGCTTCGGCCCAGTCTACTCAGTGCAAGGAGGAAACATGCCAGCTGTTTGGGGAGTGGCGTCAAGCTGGTCACGCCCACACAGTCGACCATGCCAGTGAGTGGTGTCAAGCTTGCCACGCACATCCAATTGGCCACACCCACCCAGTCAACCACACCCTCCTCTCCTGTGGTCAATCATAGCCTTGATGCTGTCGTCAATTAAATTGAGTTTGACACCCCTGACTTAGACGGTGGTCAGATAAGGCACCAGCCCCCAAACTTTTGGGTACCAGGGACTGGTTCCGTGGAGAGCGGAACAGAAGAGGTTTTGCATGCTGCCTGAATCAGTAAAGTTATACTCTTGGCAAAATAATATCCTACGAGTTCCTTTTGCTGCATATGCCAATGCGATGGTTGATAGTAATATTATATTCATGATTTTGGTCAGGTCTCTTAGACTACCTCAAAGGGTTGGGAAGAGGAACATCATGCGAAAAATGGAAGACCCTTTAAGAAGATTGTTCAGGAACTAGGCCAAGCCAGTTTTCTACAAATGATTCACCTTCAGACTGGGAAACTGATGGATTCTTTTTCATTTGTGTGCCTCAACACATTAAGGTCACCAGGTTAAGTATGGTCTCCCTGTCTTGTAAGCAAGAAATTCCATAAATTATGGAGCCTGTCCTTTCATCTCTTCTGACTCTTTTTCCAATGTCCATATTGTGGGGTGTGGATAAGATGTGGGCTTGGAGGCACCCCGAATCCAGTGTTCCTCCCTCCCCATATCATAGTCCATTTTATACACCTTGTCTATAGGATGAAAAGGGCCAAAAATTATCATGGCCATGACTGTGTTTGTGAAGCACAACTCTTGTTTTACTTCCAACACACAGGAAAGAAGAGTAGTCACCATTTTTATTTCTTTTGATCCTTCTGTGAACTGCCCTACTCCTCAATAATACCTTGTTTTAACATTCAGCGTTCCAATTGTTTTTGTTCTAAGGTCCCTCGTGATTTTACAAGTCTTCTTTGACCCTCTTCCCAACTCTCCCGATTTCCAAATTAAGCAACCTGAAGGATCATCTTGGTGGAGGAAAAAAGGCTAGGGTGGTCCCACCTCATGTTTTCCTCCAGACCACTGGCCGAAGTGTTCCACCTCTTCCACCAGATCGTCGCACATCTGATCGGTGAACACCGGAAACCAGTAAACATCAGGGCAAGGCTACCAACAGGAAGAAGAAACAGTGAGCCCAGGAAGTTTGAAAGGGCCAAATCAACAACTCAAGAGGATCAGGGAAAAGAGACATAAATCACCTGTTCAAAAAATTCTCCCTCAAGAACGCGCGAGTAGTTCTCGTGGATATATTTCTCCTGCCAGTCCTGTCCAGGAAGAAAAGGAACAAACTAAAAAACAAAGTAATCTAAGTTATCAGAACATTCACCTGATCTAATGTGTATCAGGCAATCCAATCCTGGAATAAACATTTCTGCAAAACTTGTCATCATATCTCCTCAAACATTTTCAGATACTCTGAAACTACAATTCCCAGAATTCTCAGAGGGCCTTGGGCATTGTGGGAAGCTCAAAGGACAGCTACCCAGGAAGTACATGTGGATTTCTCATAATGCCCTGCAAACTGCAAAGGTAGTTCCACCAGCATACAATTTCTCACCCCTCCAAAGAAGTCCTCCCTGTGATGTCTCCCTTGGACGACTCCTACGGCTCTTTCTTGGAGGCCGACTTGAGGGACAATGAGCTCATTCTTGGCACATCAGGAACCAGAGTTAATTACTGACCCTGAACAACAACTAACCCTGAACGGATGGCAGAAAGAGAATTACGGGCTTTGGCTGGGGACAGCTTGCAGGCCAGTGAAGAGGAGTGGGAGGAGCTGTCTGCCCTGATGGATCTCAAAACACACAGGGCAGAGAAACTAGGAGGTCTACCAGATTGCTCAGGAGAAGGCCCTGCCCCTCTTGATGGGCTGCACTGGGAAGCTATTTAGCATGGCAGGCTGAGGGTGGCCTGCTGAGAATGATGTGATTGGGGGTCGTGGCTGTGTGTTTGTTCGTGTTTCCTGCTTGAGAGTTTTGAGACTCTGAACTTCTATAACCCGTGAGATAACGTGGTCTTAAAGACTTTCAATTTTTGCCTGGAGGCTTTGTGTACGTTTATGAGACTTACTTGTTTGAGCAGTTTGCTATTTGTTTTATGGACTAATTGGCCTTTTTCTGAGGGATTAATCTGGGTTTGCTTGTGAATGGCTTTGTTTGGAACAGTTCTAAATCCGCGTGAAGAGAACTGCTGAGGAATACTAATAAAACTCTCCATATACCACACCAACTTGTCTGTGGGAGGGATTGACACTCCCAGATCTAGGCGCAGGGCTGGATGAAGGAGATTGAGAGAGAAAAGGACCCCATCTTGTGCAACTGGGCATGCTCACCAAAGGATTTTCAGAAATCTGCCAGAGCTCAGGATGTAGGCGGGAGATGTTGTATCTAGTGGTGGAAATAAGGCGTCCAAAATCATCCCGGTTACTAATATGGAGAAAGATGCCCTGTAAAGAAGAGGAAGAGCCAAATTTAGGCCAAATTTGCACAGTCTTGGGATCCCAAGCACTCACATGCCAGGGATACCAAAAATGTTCGAAATAAATATAAGTAATATAAATATAAATATACACAAACATCTTTCACAAATGTCATGTGCTTGTTCTGCAGATTTTTAAAAAAAATCTTAGAGCAGCATTTCTCAACTTTGATAACTTTGAGAAGTGTGGACTTCAAGGTTGGCTGAGGAATTCTGGGAGTTGAAACCCACAAAAGAAATTCTTAAAGTTATCAAGGTTAATAAATATCTCTTTAGAGTATATTTTGGTCTGAAGGAAATTTCTACTCCTTAAGAATACATCAGAACAGTCCCTGGGGAAAATAAAGGTAAATTGCTTATAAAACTACTATTTATAAAAAAGTATACTAAATCCAAACTACTTCTTTTAACAATAGTAATTGGGAGCAGAGGTTCCATTGCTATGCAATGCTGTCGTAAAGTGAAGCATCACATGACCACATCTCTTAGTGAAGGCAATCTCATCAGTCGCTCTGCCATTGTTAAGCAAGGACTGTGGATTGTTAAGCAAGGATCTCCTTGCAACTTTCTGCTGGCTCCCAACTAGTCAATGGAGAAGCCAGCAGGAAGTCCAAGGTCCCAGACAGGCTCACCAACAGACTACTAGACAGGTAAGTGGTTGCTGCAGCACAGTGCAAGTGTGGCAGGGCTGGGGGTGGGGGGTTGCTGTCAGGTAAGGAGGGAGGTGCTGCAGGTGCCAGGCTCTTTGGAAGAAAAAGAGGCAGGATTGCCAGCAATTTACCGGAGAGACGTGTGACCTTCTTTGCTGGCTTCCCCAATGACTTTGTGTGAAGTCATCAGGGCAGGTCATGATTGGTGATCACATGATCATGGCACACTGCAACCATCGTTAAAAGTTGGCTGTCAAATGTCCAGATTGTTTCCTGAATTTTGAAGACCAGTCCAAACTACAGGTAGTCCTTGACTTATAACCTCAATTGAGCCCAAAATGCTAAGCAACACATATGTTAAGTGAATTTTGCCCCGTTTTACGACCACTTAAGGGTGGTTAAGTGAATCACTACAGTTGTTAAGTTAGTCACACAGTGGTTAAGTGAATCTGGCTTCCCTGTTTACTTTGCTTGTCAGATAGTCGCAAATGGGGATCACTGCAACCGTCATAAATATGAACCAATTGCCGAGTGACCAAATTTTGATTGTGTGGCCATGGGGATGCTGCAAGTGTTGTAAGTGTGAAAAAGCTAAGTCACTTTTTTCATTGCCATTTGTTGTAACCCGCCAGCGGCCAGCAGAACTAGCAGCAAACTCGGACAGTGAGGAGGTTGGGGAAGAACATGGGCCAGTCCTGGAGTCTGGGGAAGGTTCCAACAAGTGCTCTGCATCGGAGGCAGAGATGGGGCCAGGGCTGTCTGACAGTTATCAGTTGCCTTCAGAATCAGAGTTCAGTGGGACAGAAGAACAGCTGGAGCCTGTTCCTGATGTGCTCATGCGCAGAGCTGCCAGGAGAAGGGAATAGTTAAGGAACAAGGGTCTACTCAGGAGTAAAGGCTCAGGTGGACGGTGAATGGCCCCTCCCACAGGGAATAAAGAGGAGTGAAAGGGGAGTGGGGTTTGCAGAAGACAATTAGTTCAATTCATTAGAGTGAAGTTCTGTTCCTGACTTCTTGCCAAGAATTGCTGCTACAGCATGGCATTTGGAAGATATCGGCCTGGCAACTCTCCAAGCCTGATAAAGGTCTGTAGTTGTGAAATCTCATGAAAGGCTGTTTGCCGGGACTTTGCTGGAGAGGAATTCACTTTGACCTAAATAAAAGGGGTTTTGATTGGGACGAGGAGTCTGCTTCATGATCTTGGGAAGGCTAGGTCAGAACAACGTTGTTACCTTGAACAGTTGCTCAACAAACAGTTGTAAGTTGAGGACTACGACATTTAGCACCCTCCCAACTTTGAACAGTTGCTGAAACTTTAGTTCTCAACTGAAGACTTCTGTAATAGACTTATAGTATCAATATAAAATACAAAAAACAACTTAAGAACTTTACTCTTTGGGATGAACAGCCTGTGAGGACACTAAAATTCTCACCTTCTCCCGCACACTTTTACAAAAGGCCATGTCCGGATCCGTGTCCTCCAAGGTGAAAATATTGCGTTGGGGCAACTCCTGCCTTAAGATCTCCCCTTTCAACAGGTAGGCCTGAGAGATATAGGGCACGTTCCACACCCCACTGCAATAGAGGGGAAAAACACCATGAGAATCCGCAGAACCACAAGCAAGGCAGCAGTATGGGGATCGGAAAATTAAAGAGAAAAGAAAAAGAAAAGCATTTCCTTTTTCAGATTATGCCAAGGAGTATTCAGTCCGAAATTCCAGATGCAACAAGGCTTCTTGGAAGACCACAGGGAGGGAGATTGATGGAAGCCATCTCTTTCTCTTGCCTCCCAAGAAAATATGATAGTTAAGATAAAATAAGATAAGATGAGATGAGGTGAGGTAAGATAAGAAGATAAGATAGATAAGGTAAGGTAAAGTAAGATGAGAAGATAACGTAAGGTAAGGTTGTTTTTCAGAGGTGGGATTCAGCAGGTTCTGACCAGTTCTGGAGAACTGGTAGTGGAAATTTTGAGTAGTTAGGAGAACCAGCCAATACCACCTCTGACTGGCCCCACCCTCATCTATTCTCTGCCTCCAAAGTCCCAGCTGATCGGCTGGGCCTTCTTTTGTTGCCCTGCACAGAAGAACAGAGCTGGAAAGCAGGTTAGTGGAGTGGGGAGGGAATGGGGATTTTGCAGTATCCTTCTCCTGCCATGCCCACCAAGCCATGTCCACCAAGCCACGCCCACCAAGCCACGCCATGCCCACAGAACTGGTAATAAAAAATTTTTAATCCCACCAATGGTAAGATAAGATACCTTTACAATTGAAGAGTAGCAATAGCACTTAGACTTATATACTGCTTCACAGTGCTTTTACAGCCCTCTCTAACTGGTTTACAGAGTCAGGCTATTGCCCCCAACAATCTCTTATTTTACCCACCTTGGAAGGATGGCAGGCTGAGTCAAGAAGGGGACTCTCCCTAGTTTATTGGTATGTAAAGGAGACAGTGGGAGATTTGTACTTTCAGACTTGCGAGATTCTAATAATTAGCCTCACAATAAAGCAGAATTTGGTTAACTTTCTTGTCTGGTGTACATGGGAAAACAGACACATCTAGCTGACTTGTAGAAGTCTTGAACTGTACAAAAGCCCATCCAACCATCCAACTGTTTAAAATTCCTACTCACATTCTCTTGCCTTGCACCAATTCCACGTAGTCCTCTGACCGGGCATAATATTCATCGGGACTCAGGGCTCCCCAAAAGTTGGACCAAAGCTTGCCATACCGAGACACCATGGGAGCAATCACATACCTGGATGGTGCAGAGGAGTAATATAGAAATCAGGAGTGAAAAAGCCAGTGGTTGGGAAGAGAAGTGATATGCATCTAGGCTGAGAGCTCGGGTGGGTATGGGAACGACTGCTTACTTGTTCTCCTGCATAAGTATCTGCAGGATTTCGGGATTTGTCACCACCACGTCAGCATCAAAGCTGAAGTAATAGTCGCAGGTGGGATCCTGTCGGCACAGATCCCTGGAATGCAAAAAAGAAAAGAAAAGAAAAGAAAAGAAAAGAAAAGAAAGGAAAAGAA